AACAACAGGAAATCATCATGATTATTCAACTGAAATGTAAAATGTGAATGAACGTGCATGCAATGCAACAGTACAAGCAAGGGAGGACACCTCAACCTTTAATGCAACCAAGGCAAACACAAAGGGAAAAGAAACAATCAAGCAAAGGGAGGAAATATCAACCTTTAATGCAAACATGGACTTAAGAGATAGAATGCCTATCCTAATGCACTTATATCCTAATGCACCAAATCAAACAACATGCAGGGGAGAGGTTAAACAAGATGATGGGAAAGTAAAAGGAGAACTAAACTCACTAAGTTCAATGTGTATCAACACAAGAATCCACAAAGGATTAACTTCTTTATGGAATGCACTAAGTTCTTCCTAAGGAAGAACTAGGCTCTCACAAGAAGGATCCTAAGATCATAGGACAAATAAGGAGAATATGTGTACAAACACAAGAGTCCATCAAAGGCTCAACTTCTTTATGGAATGCACTAAGTTCTTCCTAAGGAAGAACTAGGCTCTCACAAGGAGGATCCTTTGATTGTAGGACAATGAAAGGCATAGAGAGAATGATGTGGAGGGAAAGCAACAATGAGAACCAAAGGAACTCATTATGTTCAACCAAACTCATCACATTCAATGTGTATCAACACAAGAGTCCATCAAAGGCTCAACTTCTTTATGGAATGCACTAAGTTCTTCCTAAGGAAGAACTAGGATCTCACAAGGAGGATCCTTTGATTGTAGGACAATGAAAGGCATAGAGAGAATGATGAGGAGGGAAAGCAACAATGAGAACCAAAGGAACTCATTATGTTCAACCAAACTCATCACATTCAATGTGTATCAACACAAGAGTCCATCAAAGGCTCAACTTCTTTATGGAATGCACTAAGTTCTTCCTAAGGAAGAACTAGGTTCTCACAATAAGGATCCTAAGATTATAAGACATGGAGAGAAGAATTATGAGAATAAGGATGGGAAGAAAAGTGATAACCTAAGGAACTCACCATGTTCAACCAAACTTACTTCCTTCAATGTGTAAAGACACAAGAGTCCACAAAGGTTCAACTTCTTTATGGAATGCACTTGGTTCTTCCTAAGGAAGAACTAGGCTCTCACAAGAAGGACCCTTTGATTGTTGGACAAAGGAGGGAAGAATAAAGTGTGGAAAAGAATCATGCAAAGCAAGGCAAAAGAATCACATTAGGGAGAGAAACCATTCACTATATGCTTCTAAGGAACCCTAAATGAAATGTCCTAAAGGATGCCTAAACTAAGCAAGCTATGAACATGATAATGACTTGAAATTCATCACACAAGTGGATTAAGATGTCTAGGTTATGAATATGGAAGAGTTAGATGCACAAGAATTGCAAAGAGTTCACACAAAATGCAAACTAGGCAAGTGGTAAGGTTGAAACCACACAAGTATAGGCCAGAATGTAAAATCTACTAAAAATAGTAAAATGAACCTAAAAATCTAAGGAAATTCCTAGGGGACCCCTCTGGTCTTAGGGACCAGGGGTCCAAAGATGGAAAGGAAATTCTAAGTATAGGTATGCCAACAGAAGGCAAAATCATGAGGTATTCTATGGACAAGGTCAAAAGAGAGGGTTCTAAGGGCACTATCTAAACCCTAATCAAATGATACCTAAAAATAAAGAGAAAAATTTCACAATATCAATTAATGTGTCAATAATAAGCACACAAAAAATCATGAATTTATTTGATGTTTTGATTAAGAAAGAAAAATCAAAAAGTGAACATGCAATCTTTCAAAGTATGCAAAAATATTTTTCCATGATTTTTGGGATGCATTAAGCATTTTTCATGAATTAAAATGTAAACAGATATGAAATACAAAAATAAAGACAAAAGAAATGAAATTGGAAAAAAGTTTGGTGGGAATAGCAATCCATAGGCGTGCATCTGGTTGGGCTCAGTGTGAGGGAGGTGAAACTAGGAATCAGAGCCCAATCCAATCTAATTTCAGTCAACTAAAATGAGAATAAATCTCAGCCACCCAATGCAATTACCATTCAAAGATCCCATGGCTACAATAAGGACACGCGTGCATCAGTAATTCAATTATAAAACGAAAACAAATCCCCGCCTCTCTTTCTATGACTAGTCAAGTGATCAAACGGTGGTAATGTAAGTTGCAAAACGCAGCGTTTCATTTAAGTATGGTCAACAAGATCCTGGCCATCCACTGTGACTTAAGTCCACTGATCCAAGGGCCCTCAACTATGCCACGCGTGCTGGGAAATTAAACATAATTCAAAACTGAATCATGGTCATTCAATCCACCCTCAGTCAAACTGATCTAATGGCTAAGGATACATCTGAGGATTTAAACGCAAGATTTGGAGGGAGCACCAGACGGTGGCCGGATTAACACCGGTCATCTTCTCCGGCCATGATGAACAGTACCAGTTCCAAGAACTCAACAAAACTCATAATTTCCTATACCAATCTCTTCGTCTCATCGTGTACATCAACGTGCCATGGTTTTCTTGCTCTAAATCCCTAAGATAAGCGAAAACCGAAAGCTACAAATTCCTATGGTGTTTCAAGAATCATCACAATCATGCACGAAACCTATCCAAGATCCATCTACTAAGCATGGGGATTTCAAATACACAAAAATGGCATGTTAACTCTTCCTATACAGTGAGGAAAGTTGAAAGATGATTTACCTAGTGGAGAGCTTCCACTGAGCCTTCAAACGTGGTGAATTCTTGATGCTTTTGATCCAAAAACGATCGGTGAACCTTCCTTGAGCTGTTAGGATTAGGGATGTAAATGGATATCCATGGGGGAGGATAGTATGATATATGTGTCTGCCCCGTTGGATAAATATGATATCTGTATCTGCCCCATATCCATGCGGATATCAGTTAAGCGGGTAATCCACGGGTTTTAAGGTATCCGCGGATATTTACAGATATCCATGAATAACTTTTTTGTCTAAAATTCTTTTTTTTAAATATATTTTTTCGCTCTCAATTTAACAACTAAACTTCATCATATTATTTTCATTCTTTTTTCACTAAAACATAATAACATTCAAACATAATATCCATACATTTCATTTTTAACAAAATAAAATTCATCATACCATATAATAATTGTTTAAATAAAACAAAAAGTAATAATGCAAATAGTTTTCATCAATCATTACAAAATTCCATATTATGCATTCCTTGCTTAACATTCATACTTTGGTTTCCTAGCTCCTAAATTAAAAGCTTAAAAGATTCCAAATAAAATATCCAAAATAACAGTGATATTTGTAACCAAATCTTATAAGATACACTAACAATTTCATTCACTAATAATGTCAGCATCCATATCTTCCAATATTGAATTAATTTCAATAACCTCAACTTTTGATTTGGTATAACCTGAAAAGAAATAAGAATATGTCAAATAATAATTTATTATAATTAATCACTGTAATAAAAATATGTCAAATAATAATTTATTATAATTAATCACTGTTATAAAAACATGTTATAAAATTGATTACCTTTCACATCAGTCCATAGCCAATCTTGGACACACATCAATGCCTCTAAAGTATCCGAACGCAATCTACTACAATGAGGAGTAAGAATCTGACCACTTGTGCTAAAAGAAGACTCGGAAGCAACCGTTGAAATAGGAATTGCTAAGAAGTCCCTTGCAATCATTTGCAAGATTGGATATTTTAATCCACTAACCTTCCACCAACCTAAGATGTCAAAATTTTCATCATCCGGTAACACTTTCTCCTCCATATATCCGTCAAATTCTGACCTACTAGACATGACACTTTTTTTTACACTGACATGTTTTGCAAAATTAGACCTCCAAGCTTCTTTTTTGCCAACAACAATTGCATCAGACACAATTTGAGTTTGATTTGAGGATGAAGAAACATTCTCTTTCTCCTTTATTTTCAAATTATACTCAATTACCATATTTTGAAACAAATATTTTACCTTCTCAATTTCATTATCAGCTTCATCTCCATAAATTAGAGGAAAAAAGTAATCTAACAAATCAACTTTGTACCTTGGATCTAACACAATGCCTATTGCCATCACTCCATTGACCACCTTCCAATATTTGTCAAACTTAGAAAGCATACTTGAAGCCATGTCTTTAATGACATAATCAGTAGAACCAAGCCATTCAACTAAAGCCAATTTCATTTCACATACTTTGGGAAAATAAACATTTGCAGTTGGATACTTGGTACCAGAAAATAGTTGTGTAACATTATAAAAAAAACTTCCAACCTTTCACAAATTTCTTTTGCTTTCATCCATTCATTTTCACTAGGCAAGGTTTTATATTGAGTATCTCGTTTTGCCAATCGACCAAACACATCTTTATATTGTATGGCAACATTAAGCATTAAGAATGTAGAATTCCACCTAGTTCTGCAATCTTGAACCAAATTTTAATCATAAGAAATGTTCACTTGACCACATGTCTCTATGAATTTCTCCTCTCTTTTAGGGGTTGTTGTCCAAAAGACAACACTTTCTCTAATATTCTCAATGGCACTAGAGATTATGGATAAACCCTCTTTCACAATTAAATTCAATATATGTGCAGAACACCGCATGTGAAACAATTTGCCACCCAATATCAATGACCTAGGTGTAATTTTATTTAAAATGCGTTCAATCATAGCATCATTCGTAGAACAATTATCAATAGTCATTATGGACAACTTTGTATCTAGGTTCCAATCCATCAAAGATTGAATCAACGTATCAGCTAGAGTTTTGCTAGTATAAGGAGCAGGCACATAAATGAACCTAACATAAATTAAATTTTCAAGAACAATATTACTAACATTATACACACAAAAAAATCAAAATAATTTACTGTTATTACCTTATAAGTCGACTTTGAAGGGTCCATGAATCATCAATAAAGTGAGTTGTAACTGTCATATAGCCTTTATTCTGGTTACTTGAAGTCCACATATCACTGGTGATTGCAATACGACTTTAATTCTTTGACAACAACTTCATGGTATTCTCTTTCTCATCGTTATAAATTTTCATGATGTCATTCTTGATAGTGTTACGAGAAACCACCTTAAATAGAGGTTGCATAGAAGCACAAAATTCTCTAAAACCAATGTGTTCAACCATTGCTAGAGGATACTCATGAAGAATTATCATCTTAGCAACACCATACCTTGCTATGTCTTGGTTAAATGCATAAGAACCTACCATTACAGTTTGACCATCAACTTGTTCAGTTTTTATCAAAGCTTGCTTTATATCTTGATTTGTTCGACGTGGACAATACTTAATGTGTGATTTTAAGTGTGACGTTCCTTGTTTTGGAACACCCAAGAGTTTTGCACCACAATAGTTACAAATGGCCTTCAACTTTCCTTCTATTTTTTGCCTTTTGAAATGGTTCCAAACTTCAGAAGTTAGCTTTCTTTTAAGACCTTCAGTGTCAACTTCACATGAAATAGGACTTTCAATTTCATTAGGAGTTGAATTAATTTCTACATTCGGACCATTTGAAGCAACAACGTTAGACTCATCTGCGTTTGAGACTACCAAATTCTCTTGCATAACTTCTATAGGAGTAAAGGTTTGTTCAAAAGACATTCTACAAAAAAAAAGATAAATTTGTCAATACTGTATTAATGTGATAGTTTTAATATCAATATCAATATTCAATACTGTATAACAATTGTGGTCCAAATTATCAACGGTAAACTTGAACCGGAACAAAAAACTAAGAGATAATGAATAATTAGCAATTAAAAATATAAATTAATAATTAAAAAGCATTAACTATAACAATATTAATATTATAATAATGGTGAAACGTTTACATTAAAATAAATAAAAAAACAAAGAAACCTATAAAGATGTATAACGTAGATATGAGAAAACCTATAATGAGAAAAAATTATCATTTACTTGATATAGTATGATTATATTTCATTGCATATATTAATAACACATGAATATAGCAATAAATAAAAAGAGCCTATAGATGGAAAGAATAGGCACACATGAATATCATTTTTATATCAATGAAACGAAAAAGAATGTATATAGTGCTTCTTCTTTTTACTAGTTTAGGGTTTAGTATTTTGCATTATAATTGCCTTAAAATAAGAAACTATTTTGCAGCCCCACCTATTACTACTTCAGTGTTGCAACAACCAAAATTAAAATTAAAATAGCAAGAACAAGAACAAAATGTAACAAGGTAGATAGGTTACCTTAATCATTTAGGAAATTAGGACTCTGAGTTGCAGTGTTGGATAGAGAAAATACGGTACTGGTTCTTTGGGTTGGAGTTGGACAGTGGAATTGTGAAAGTGAAAGAGATGTTAGGTCTAAAATATAGAAGAAGCCTAAATAAATATAAAATGACTAAATATGATTTTTCTTGAAATGTGAAAGGTTTTCTTTTTCTTCCAAGAAAACGTTAAAAAAAAGAAATATGAAAAGACTAAATTTCTTGGAAGATGTAATGACGTCTATAATAAATTAAAAATATTTAAATACTTTTTATAATTTATTAATGGGTATGGATATCTGCAGGTACGAGTATCATTAAACCCGCATCCACATCCATTAAATAACGGATATTTAAATATCCATTTATTTTATCCATGGATATCCATTAAGCTATCCACATTGTATCCGTGACGGATTATATCCGCGGATACCCACGGGCACAGGCTTTTTGCCATCCCTAGTTAGGATGAGCAATTTGGCTTGAATCTTCAAGAATATGAAAACACGATTTCACACCTTCTTCCAACTTCTCCAACTATTTTCTAACTGTTTTTGGCTCCAAATTCCATTGTCAATGATTGTACATGATCAAGAGTTTATATATTTTGGATATGGATGGATAGAAAGCCCAATTATAGCTTGAATAAGCCCAATTGAAAAATCCAATTTCAAGGTTGTGGTGAACTTGCAACTTGTGAAAACAGAGCTTACAATGCCTTGAACTTGTTCCATTCATGTTGCTAGGAATGAGTGTGATCCAATGGTGGAGATTTCTGCCTTGTTTGGATCTTAATGAAGTGAATTTGATATGTAACTTACACTTGAAGGAACATGTGAAATGCCATGATTTTGAACCTCAATTTGCAAATATAAAAATGCCATTGTGTTTAGAATATGTAATGCACTCAAAATATGCACAAATTTACACAAAGTTTGTCCATTATGATTTAATTTGATTTTTGGCTTTTAATGACTTTTTCATGGAAATTCCTTCATTTAATCTCCCATCCAAGCCAATTCAATGGTTCCTTGAGGTTTGGTTGAGCAATTTACCCCATTTGGAGCAAGTTTTAAGTTGGAAATATTTCTATTTGAGTTATGCAAAGTGGTGAAATTGACCTATAATCAAAAGTGGCCTATAATCAAAGTTTCCCAAAATACCCCTGCCTTGCAAGCTTCATGTCTTGAGCTTAACAAATCAGATGAAGGACTTCTAGTAATCTCTGGAAAGATACGATGATAAGGGAGAACTTTCATGTTTGGATCAAGATGAGGAGAAACATCCTTCTAGGTCAAAAATGTCTTGGAAGTTGGTTGACTTTCATGGACCAAAATCACATTCATCTGATGACCTGTAACTTGCCTGCTTCATAACTTGAGTTCTAGAAATCCAATGGAATACTTCTAGTACTCAAAATAAATCTAAGAACATGCTCTACAAGTCTCATGTTGGAGTCAAGATGAGATGAAACTTCTATCTTAAGATATGTGGCCTTGAAGTTAGACACTAAATAGGGGATTTTACACTGACAAAGCTTAGAAACCCTAGCTCAGCAACTTCTCACACTCTTGAATATTGATGAATTGATCTTGAAATGGTATATGACATGTCTAAACATAACATTCCATGATCACAAAGACTTGGAATTGAGTCTTAATCTCCTTTAATTCAACTGTTGACTTAGGGCTGCCTAGGTGAAAACCCCAATTACACCACCTTTGGCTGTAGCCTCTTGTACTAGATATAATGACTTGTATAAGCTCCTAAATAACCCTCAAGGAACTCAATGAGCTCTCACAATTATCTCCATCCATAACCATGGACTCATAATCCTCTGATGACTTTCACTGACCCCCAAGATAGGAGATGCACCAATCTTAACCATCTGCTCCTTTAATGGGCTTTGACATTCCTCTGATGATAATAAGCACTTGATAGCTTGAATAAAACCTCTTGAATAGGCTTAGAATCTTTGACAACCTCCTCTTAATGAGCACAACTCTCTCAATCCCCTGCCACATGGACAATGATGTGCCAATGTTAATGATATATGAAATGTAATGAAACATAAGCTAGGTAAAGAAAAGGTTGAGCAAATTTTGGGGTGCAATGCCCTGTAATATATTTTCTCTATGGGGTACTATAACCTAAATCATCCCCAGTGTCATCAGAAGTAACATCATCATGCACCTTACCACCCCCATGCACATTATCATGATTTTCCTCATCTTCATTTGCCTTACTTTCATTCAACTTAGCTTCATTTGTCTCACTTTCATTCAAATCATCTTCATTTGCCTCACTTTCCTTCATCTCTGTTTCATTTGCCTCACTTTCCTTCATCTCATCTTCTTTCAACTCCCCATTAATTACTTCTTCATACATAGCAGTAATCACTTATTTACACTCATCTATAATGTCATCCTGATGTACTTCTATCTTATCAAGAGGATCATCATAATACTCAAGTTGAGACAAAGTGTGTTGAATATGGATATCCACTTAGATGCACCCTATAGATCAGCAATCTCTAAGGCACCTTTGTCATTAACCAACACATTCATCCCAAATGTGGGGTCCCTGTAATATATTTTCTCTAGGGTACTATAACCTAATTTCTTGAAGCAACCTAACAACTCAAAATAACTCCACCTGTCAACCTCTACGTTCAAATCAGCAATGTATCCTCCTTCGTACACGTTAAATTCGTCATCAATGAATTCACCACTGTGATATATTTTTAGATGTAAATATTTGTCCGTTTCAAACTATACCCTAAAAATAGAATTGCAGAAATAGATAGACTTCAGAAAGATTTCAGAAACCATAAACACCTAAGCCTAAAGCCTAATGCTATAACATTTTAGAATTGCAGAAAGATTTCGTGAAACAAGCATGTAATCAACAATGGTGTCGTTGATTTCACTTTTAAACAAGGTTTCGAATTTTCCTACTCTCCTCCTTACGCAAATCGCAACTAATTCCTCCTTTGTCAATTGCTCTGCTATGGTCCCTTTGTCAATTGCTCTGCAAGTGTTTTATGAACTAAACCCTTCAGTTTCTTTTTTAAGGTAGCCTCTGATCCACCTCAGCAACATGTATGTGCCACATGTACACTAAAATTGACTTTGACTAATAGGGCAAACGAAAAGGACTAATGTGGCGCTATTTGAACAGTTAAAGGACTAATTTGGCCTCTTTTAAATTTGAGGGACCAAAAAGGGTATTTTTCCTATATTGTATTTATAATCTTTTCTTGTAAAATAAACATATGTGTACTGGTAAAAAAATTACATGTGTGAGTAGTATCCCTACAAGGGTAACAGATACTTAGAGGCCTTAGTAGGTTTATAACAATTTGGGCTTGCTCGCAGCAGTGAGAGAATGTATGGTGGTTTTATGGTGTTTATATTGGTATGAGAAGTTAGCTCACACGAGGTGAGAGGTTTTATGTATTATACGATATGTTGTTAAATTATGATTTGTCTTCTCCCGTTAGAGGAGGAATATTTATAGAGGCCCATGGGCCTAGGTTTTCCTTAGGAATGATAACTCCCCACATAATCAAAGTAGTGGATCATTGAATCCCTAGTTCCCAGGAAGATGGGGATTAACTATTGACTCTGACTTCTCTCTACCCAAGAAACGTGTTACTCCATATTTCCCATGATTGCGCGAGCAGGAGATACTTTAGGGCGAGGTGATTCCTTTAGGGGCGACACATGATTCTCGCCCCCTCCAAGGGCTACAGCCCTCCCGCCTTTGTTATACCTTTAATAAATATAACACTACACAATCCCTCAAACATGAGGTATTTGATGAAGGGCGGATTTCTTTTAGACTATAGAGCATTGGAACATCCCAAAGCCCTAGGTTTTTTAGGGATATGGCATGACAAACCAAACTTACTAGGTTTTGAGTCCCTCGTGTGAGACATTAGACCTATCAGGCGGGACTTCTATCAAACCCTCAAACAATACTTTGAACTAAGTCTCTTAGGATGTACTTTGGTCACACCTCTTAGGCGAGATTCATATGTTGGATCTCATCTGAGAAGACTCTAAGTCCCTCAGATAAGGAGTTTTAAATGGTGTGTTCGATGGGAAATCTTAATCCCACAAGAAAAGTCATATTGAGCCTGGATGATGAGACTATAAGTCCCTCAAGCGAGATATTGTACCTTTCGAGTGGTACTTCTATCAAGACTTTGAACTAAGTCTCTTAGGCTAGACATTAGTCGTTCCTCATGAGTAAGATTCATATGTCATATTTTATCTGAGGAAATTATAAGTCCCTCGGGCAAGGAGTTTTAAATGGTATGTTTGATTAGAAATCTTAGTCCCATGGGCAA